ATGTAGTGAGTGGAACATAGAAAATGCAAGCTGACCCTCAGAACAGTTGTGATCAATTTAGCTTCTGAGATCACTAGTGGCTGATAATTTTGTTTACTTGTTAGATTGGGAGTCAGAACTCAGCGCCCATTCATAGGAAGCTTAGTATCATTGCCGGTAGTGTCCAACTGTTACAGGTGCCGAACTGCTTCTTTGATGCATTCAAGAAGAGCTAGGTTCCAGTGACCTGGAAAGCCAGAAAGGTAGCGGTAACAAGTAACACTGATCCGAGAGGAATGCGCCAGGTGAAGACGCCAGGTGCAGGGAGCTATGGGGAAAAACACGCAGTGTCTCTCCCAATGATGCTCTTCATTTCTGAGCTACACTAGGGATGGCCAGTGTTGCTCAGGGACGGTCCGTTTGTAGCCTGCTCCCTGTAGGACTGCAGAGTGGCCAAGGGCAAGTTAGCCAAGTCATGAGGGCACCAGCTAAGACACTGATTTAGCAGGCAGGAGACACCAACATTATGTCCTTTAGCCAGGAAAAAATAATTGCCTGATAGCTGTGACAGAGTAATAATTGAATGAGAGAAATATTTGTATTTTTTTATTTGTTTGTTTGGTTGGTTGGTTTTTGCAGTGCTGTTGGTCAACCCCAGGGCCTGTGCTTGTTGGAGCTATATCCCAAAACAATATTTTTACCATTCTTAAAGAGAGGCTATAAGGATTAAATGGATACTTTTTTGTTGCAATCTGAAAATTAAGTTGGTAGAGTGGAAAAATCAAAGATTCCGTAAGGTGTGATTGCATGAACAAAGCTAGAAAGAAGTAGATAGATGCAGATGAAATATTTAAGAAAGCTAAATAATAGATTATTAAAGAAAAACATGACATTGCTCCATTTTTGAATCATTTATGGACAAGTTATTTTATTAATTTTTCTATGATAAAGTTCTTAAAAGGGAAGGTTCCTAGAGTTGTGATCCTAAAAGCAACAAAAGGTAGAAATAATTTTTAATCTTTTTTCATATTTATAGAAATACTACCTCACCGTGTAGAGAAACGCACAGACGTAGGCAGCATATTCATTTCTGGACAGGATCTAGGAGCACCCTGGAAGCTAGGCGTTCCCATCGGTGCGCCCCCTTCCTCTCTCCTCGCCTCCCGCCCTCCCGCATCTTTCTCCGGCCTGAGTCCTCTGCTCCCTGTCTTCGCTCTTCTTCCAAAGCAGCGAGGCTCTCCCCTGTGCATCACATCTCAGTAGCATGATTGCAGTAGAATATGGCTTTTGTCCAAAGGCAAGCTGAAGGGGATAACCTCAGACTGCCGCACACCGGAAGCGGGGGTTTAAAGTGATCGCATCATGTGTCAGCTTTGGAAGTTCACAGACACTTGGGCATGTTGGGAGTATTTTAAATGCATTCTCAAATCGTTATAAACGCTGCTTTGCCCTTATTTAATAGCACATTGGTATTGCTAGAATTGTGAATCCTCTCTTCCTCCTTTCCCAAAAGCCATGTGTCCACATTCACCCCCGTGGTAACCAGAAGTTTTTCTCAGGTTAACATCCTTAAACAATTATTTTTGACACCCCCTTTCCTCCTGTTGAGGCTGACATATGCCTTGTTTCCTGCTTTTTCCTCCTGTAGTAGTCTTTATTCATCATGATATCGTGAAAAAGTCTGGAGTTTCCATTTCATCATAAATCACATTGAATTTTTTTTTTCTGCTTTCAAACCCCAGAATTTTCCTATTTGCAACACCCAGAGGTAAGAGTCATGGTCTCCTCCAGTCTTTCCACTGTTCCCTGCTGCTGTCACAGGCACACTCACGGTGTTGGCAAATAATGAAGGCTTAGTAAGCATTTTTAAAGTGAGCCTATGAATGAATATGGGGAGTGATGAAAGCATTTTTTAGGGTTCAGGAAAATGGAGAAATCTCAAATTACCAGTAACACTTTGGTATACTTTTCATGATGCAAGTTCCATGTTAAGAACTTGTAATTAATTTAATCATCACAAAAATCCTATAAATTAAGTCCTGTCATAACACCTGTTTACAAGTGCAGACAGACAGGAAGGTTCAAAAACTCACCCAAGATCACACAGCTTGTGAATGGATCCTGACCAAGAGCTTCAGGCCATTTGTGACTGAGTGGTACACCAAGCTGTGAGCTCTGGCTCTGGCTTAGAGGTCACCTCTAGCTGTTTTCTGTGTGTAGGAGACTCTAGTAGAAATGCATGCTGGTATTGGGTTTGTGGATAGCCTTTCCTACATCAGCTGGTGAGGAGTCTGAGGGGTACCTTCAGCTCTCAGTACCACCGCCAGCATGGAGCAGCAGCATCATGCCCAGCTACAGTGGTCCCGCCCTCAGGTCCACAGCCCCAATTGAAAAGCAACAGTGCATCTTTCTCCCTGTGTCCCCACCCAGAAATTAGTGGGTAGCATTTTCTTTTCTGTAAAATTTTGACTCATAAATATTTTCCAAACCTTTGACTCAACTGTAGCCTATCAATACTGAAATCTAGTAGATATGCTTATTATGACTGGTAGTTTTGTACGTATTTATATAATTCAGAATCTTGAAATTCAGCTCATCAGGGAGCCAAACCTTTAAAAATGAGTGCTTGGAGCTGCTTGTTGATAGGGAATCCAATTTGATCTGGTTGTTGTTGTTGTTGCTTTGTGTCATAATTTATCCTATCTTAAAGGGAGAGATGGTGTAGAGCATAAGCTGAGTTAATATTTATTTCTTTTTTTAAAAAGATAGAAAAAAGCCTGTGAGTGGTTTCCTGTATACTATTCAAGAGGGTTTCTTTTAACATTTGTCACCATGATCATGATTAATGTTCTGTGTGAGCCGAGCAGGCTGTAGCTCTGCAGAGACATTTTCTACTGGCAGAGCTTCTGAAGGTGGCCCAGGATCACAGTCCTCTGAGTAGAACAGCATGAAGAGGGCTCAGGTAGCCATTGCCCAGTGTGGGACCGTGTTTTGTAGGCCTCAAACACCTACCACATGCACAGACACACAAATACCACACACACAAAATACCATCACAGCGTCTCCCTCTGAGCAAACCCAGGACAGGACTGTGAGGTGAGTGGGTTTGGAGCACAAGATGTATAGATGTAACTTGATTGCTTAATAGGATTTTGCATGAAAATTAATAGCATTAATCATCTTCACTTGGAAGGAGTGCACAGTTGGTACATTACATGGCTTTAGGTATTTTGACATGCAGTATCATTATTCCACCCTCACGACCACCTTTGAGATGGGAATTTTGGTGCTCATGTTCTGGCAAGTGAAACCAAGAATGTCAGAGTAATTTAGTAACTTACCCAAAATCCCACAGCTAGCAAGTGGTGGCCCCAGGATATTTGCACACATCTTTCTGGCTCACAAACCTACCTCCTCTGCACCCTGCATGTGTGGCACCAGTGCCTGCAGCCTGTTGAGACCCCTCCAACTACTTTTTTCCAGGGGTGGGGGCCAGCTACCATTTTTATTTCTTTAATCACATGTGAGAAATTTTCTTTTCAACCAGGAACTATTTACCACCTGTTATACATTAGCAAAATGCAAGGCAATTTATTTTGTTCTGTAAGGAGAGGAATAGAAAATGTTCCAGGCATCTGATTTCAAATAACAGGATGAAAGTCTACTCATAAAGTGCATTGAATTAAAATGTATAGCTCAGTTATTGTGCATGAGAAAAGAGAGACTGGAGCATTTTTAAAATTTGTCCAACATGTGGGTAACAAAAATTAAATTCAGATACTGATGCTGCTCTTTTTTTTTTCTTTAATGATTAGGAAAAAGAGTAAAGATTTACTAATTCTTAAGATGGTTAAATATTGCCAGGCTTGAGTATTAATAGTGTTTACCACTGAAAAGCTTGGTGAAACATCCTAATTCTTTTTATTAAATGAGCATTGTTTTAAAAAAGAAAGTTAAAGCAGTATATGTAACTTTTTAAAGGAGCAGAATTTCCCAGAACACAGCTATTATCCATGTAGTGAGCATTGCTGCAGGCATCTCTGGGTAAAAATACACAAGATGTACAGTGTTTACTAAACTGGAATTATGATATTCATGCTGTTCATTAATCTGTAAATTTGACACGTGTCATTGACAAAAAGGCATTTAGCATCCTCTTTTCCTTTTTTTTTTTCTTTCTTTCTTTTTTTTTGGCCTTTTGAGACAGGATCTTACTGTGCAGTTCAGGCTGGCCTTGAGCTTACTTTTTAACCCAGGCTGGTCTCCAATTCATAGTGATCTTTCTGCCTCAGCCTCCTGAGTGCTAGAATTAAAGGTATGTGCCACCAGTTACAAGAAAAACCTAGCTTTCTTTTGGGACCCCTTCCAGGAGAAGTAGCTCCATCTTGTGGCTTTGGGGTGTGCTCATTGAAGACTTGTGTTTTTGCAACCATCATCGGCAGTGGCGGCAGCTCTGGGATTTGTCCAGTAGAGTGTGGAAACCAGTGCAGGCCACAGAAGTCTGGTCTTATCTAGAGCAAGGGCCCCTTCACACTTCTGCTCTCGTAGGCTACTCTGCTCGCAACAGTAAAGTCTCAGAAATAGAGAACCTGGGCCTCTGACTCTCAACCTTGTTCTTTCCTGCTTAACTCTGACTTGAGCACCGTTAAGGAAGCTGGTCTTTGTGGCCAGGTCCCTTTGCCTCAGCAGCATAATCATCCCCAGGGCTTCTGCCGTGAAAGATAGGGATCCTCAGTGCATGTAAGGGGTCCCAGAAAGGCGAGTCACTTGTGCCCCTCCTGCCTTGCACCATCATTTCTACATTTTGACTAAAAATTGGTTTAGAATGTTAGAAAAAAATCTTTAGCGATAAAATTGAACTGCATCATCTGGGTGCAGATGGTAAGCACAGACCCGAGAGGTGAGCACTACAAATTTGGTCATTTTCTTTAATAGACATGTGATGGAGATTATCACTTTATATAAACACACATCTCAATAAGCATGCTTTGATTGGATTTTTTTCTTTCTCTCCTGTACAGTATATAGTGGAATGTCATGGGATTACCCTTCTTCCCCAGTTCTTGGGCATGTACCGGCTTAATGTGGACGGAGTTGAAATATATGTGATTGTTACAAGAAATGTGTTCAGCCATCGTTTATCTGTATACAGGAAATACGACTTAAAGGTGAGATTCACTTTCTGCACTTTTGTTAAGAGAAGCTTATTCTTCCATGTATAAATGTTGTAATTAATCTTATAAAATGCTTGGGAGACGCTCAGAGCTTAAAAGTAGTCCTAGTGCACCAACTAGCAGTGCCCCTTCAGATTAAACCATCAGTGCACGCCAGCTTTACCAAAGGATACTTTTACATTTAGAGAGATCCTTCTGTTTATTCATTACCAGCCACCTGCCAGCCACTATTCTAGGCACAGGGAACAGTGTGATAGACAAACCAGAACAAGTCTGCACTCGAGGATCAGACATTTTGGTAGAAAAAGACAGACAATAAGTAAAAGTTGAAGAGTCACATAATATACTAAGGAAGTGATAAATGCTATAGACAGAAATAAAGAGAAGGTACCACACTGTTTTATATAGGATGTCAGGGTAAGTTTGTCTAGAAGGTGACACTGGAGCAGACTTGAAGGAGATGAGGGAAGATTCCTGGCAGAGGGAAAGGCCCTGAAACAGGCCATTTCAATAACTTGGGAGTTGCTGAAATTCTGAGAATGGCCTGACGTGCTCTGACTTCTAGGATCAGTGTCTCGGGGCAAAATGTCCAGGTTAGAAGCTGGCACACTATGACCTGCCTGCATTCCAAATCCAACTCAGGGGCCATTTTGTAAATAAAGTTTTATTGGAATATCATCATACCCATCATTTATAAATTGACTGTGGCTGCTTTTGCACAATAGTGGCTGAGTAGAACAGGAACTGTGAGGACTGTTAACAACAAGAAAGACTGACATATTTGCTTTCTAACCCCTGGAAATATTTGTCTACCTCTAGTCTTTAACAGCTGGTGCTCAAGATTTTTGGGCTTAGGACCCTTTTGCATTAATTCTGTAGGCTGTATCTATAGATGTCTATAAAAAGAAATTAAAATAAGAAATAGTAAAATGTCCATTATAGTAACCATTTCATCTTAACTTTTTATGAAAAATAACTTTTTCAAAAGCAAAACATAGCCAGAAAGTAACAGCATTTGCAAAATCTGTAATGTCTGAATTAATGTAAGACAGTTGGAATATCATCTGATTGTATTGTCAGTCTGTTGTGGTGTTATTTAATTGAAATAAGTGAAAATTTGACATGCAAATATTATAGGTAGTTGGAAAGGGAAAAATTAATAACTTTTTCAGATCATTGGTATTCTTTGATACAACACTAAAACTGGATAGTTGATAATTTCTCAAAGCTTAGATACATTGTATAATCTGAGATGTCAGTGAACTTTTCACTTTTTAAAAAATTTTCCCAAACACCTTATAGAGGTATCTCAGTTTATGAATTTACCTCATTCTACGATTCTGGAAAAGATGGCCACATTTGTGCAGAGTTTGCAAACAAAAATAAAAATTTGCCAAATTCTTCTGTTTGCAAACCAAAGCATTTTGTGAACTGAGGCACCGCACTGTATTTTGATGCATCTGGTGTGTTTTAACTGAGCAGGTGTAGTAGGATTTCCTTGCTGTTACAATCATTATTAAATGCCACTGGTCTCTGTGTGCACCGCCCTGAATGTGTGGTTTGGCTGCCCTGCACTTGTTAGAAACAGATTGGTTCACTGAATTATGTGGCCTGAATATTTGACCTTCTAAATATGTAGAATCAAACCTTCTAAATATGTAGAATCAAAAATTAAGTGGCCCCTGCCCAGAGTCCTACCACTGCGGAATAAGGCAGTAGGATCTAGAGTTTGAGCTCAGCCTGGGCAACTTAGCAAAAACTGTCTGCCTTGGGTTTAATCCCCAGCAGGATTTAAAAGAAAAATCCCGTTAGTATCACCAACCACCGGTCTCATTGGAAGCTAGGAAGCTCAGGCGCAGATACAAGTTTTTCACAATTCTGGTTCTCACTTGAAAGCTCTTTATCTTTGGCAACAAATTGTGTCATTTGTTTCCTATGAAATGACAGTACATAGCACCCCTCTTCCACAGCTCAGGCAAAGCTTGTTGCTTTGTTCATTGTTGAGAAAATATTTGTCAGTTTGTAAGATCTGAACAAGTATAGATTGTCAGTTGTTTTTTCTAGAAAAGAGGTTGTTTTATGAAAAAGATGGCTGATTCACCTCTGAACTGTAACTGTGACAGACATGGTTTTTAGAGACCCTTTCTTTACAAACAGAATGTTTTTTGCACATTTCCTACACAGAGCAGGGAAAAGAAGTGCCCACCAGAATCAAGATCTGATGAAATTCCAGGTTATTTGCTTCATCGGGGACATTCTTCAGTGATGCTGGGGTTTGGTTTGGTTTGGACTTGGTTTTTATTTGTAATGACAAATACTATTGGTACCATTTTATGTGACTGCTTGACTTGGGCTAGTTGCTAACAGTTTTTCTACCACTGACTTTTGCAGCATCCAGGAGAATATCAGAACAGGGAAAAGACAAGAAATGTTTCAGTATATTATAAAAGTGGTTTGGACTTTGCAGAGTCCACATTTTGAGAAATGTTGGTATACATGAAGGAAAGGGTCCGAGTGTGAGCTCACACAGACTGCCTTGCCCTGTTCTGTCCCTTAAGTCTTGCCTCCAGCATCACGTTCTCCTTACCTTGCACAGGGCCACGCGGGCTGGTGCTTTCAGCAAGCATCTGCAGTGCAGCCATCACTGCTGAGTGTTTCAGGGCCCAGACATTGGCCTAACCGTCACATCAGAAAGTGGGGGTGACCTGTGAAGCTGGATTTAAGACTTGTTAAGCCATGAGTTGCTGGATATTTATGAGTCTCCTTTTTTTATCTGCTAACACAGGGATGACTACCTGAGTTTCCAGGGGTTGGTGGAAGGATTGAGATACATATGTGTCACATGCAGCATGTAGAACTGGTTGTCACATCCTTTTGCTGGTGTGTGAATGCCCACTGGGCAAATATTTCATGCTATTTTTTTCCCCATGCAATGCCTAAAGCATTGCCCTTTACAAGTAGACATCCAATGACCATATCTAGATGTAAATTGGATATTGTCTTAATTTGCCTCGCATTTCATGATCTCTGCTCCCTCTTTGTCTGGTAGAATCAAATAAATTCTATTCCTGACAGTGCTTTCATTGTGATGGGACCTGTGCAGTTGGCATCATTTCATGGCTCCAACTCTTGGTTTACGTACTAACCTTACTTTTCTAATGTTTTTCTTTGCATTAATTTAAACTTGGATGAGTCCTTTTTTTTTTTTTTTCCTGAGCTAGTGGTCTGCCCTTGTGTAGAATGGACGCTTCCCTGAGAATCAGAAGTAGGGGAGGAATTACATTGTAGGAGGGAAAATGTGCAGAAACCCACAACTTGGTTAGGAATGCAGAAGTAAATACTTCTTTTTCTGCCCAGCAGCATAGACAATGCTCATGTACTTCAAATCACCCCCTGCTTTTTAGTTTGATGAAACATTGTGGGGAAACGCTGTGTGGAGGAAACTATTTGTGGCCCCTGTGCAGGAATCACCAAAGGGAGAAAAGGAGATGGTTGCAAATGACAGGTGCTGGGTTTGGACTGAGAGCACTCTGTGGGGTGGCTGTGTGATCCTTGGGTTTCCCTTCATAAATGATTCATATGCCAAGTCAGCAGAATGCTTCCCCACCTGGTCCCCAAGACACCTGTAGCTTTTACCCTGGGCAGCCATCAGGCTCTCACAGACACCAGTCCTGAGACCCTGTGCACCAGGGGAGGGGAGAGCTATGTCTGGTGGACCCAAGCCTGATATTGACCTCTTCCCCAGTACGAAAAGCTTGGTCAGCCCCAGTTTCTGCAAGGGTAACTGTTGGCCTCTGCACAGCCTTATCGGTGCCTGAGCTGCTTGCTGAGAGCTAGTGATACTGTACAAATGTTAATCTGTCTGCAAATGGCTAAGCTAGGAGCTACTTTCACTTTGTCCAAGTCAAATACAAGTTTCTTTTAATGATTGACCAGGTTAATTATCCCAGGGCAGTAGCTGTATAGTTACGAAGTGGTCAGGTTAACAAATAGTTCCACGACCTAGCATGAGCACAGGTATCCACAGCTGGAGAGGGAAGCAGGCCGCTAACGGGCTGTGATCCTCCTCCACCCACTTAGTAAATGCGGAACATCTGAACTGCATGGGACATCACCACGGAGTGCCACAGAATAAGGAGTAGTTGTGTTAGCAGATTCAGGGAGCCACTGGACCATTTATTTCCCACTTCTTCTGAATTAAACTCTTCCACAAAAAAGTTTGTGTTTGAACTCTACCCTGAAAGCCTCCCCATCGGTTTCAGAGGTGGGAGCATTTCATCTTAGGCAACCAGAGCTCAGTGGCACTTTTGAAAACTTCTGAGATGCACTGAGTATTGCCAAGGTCAAGGACCGTGTTGTTGCCCACTTCTCTCTCCACTCAGCACAGGGCCTGGCACAAAAGAGATGCAAGTAAACGTGTGACTCTGAAGGAACAGTCAAAGGAAAGGGGTCAGAAAGTGCCCACAGGGGGCGCGTTTGTACATTAGGAGAAATTCCCTCAGTAACTGGATTCCTGGAAGAAACTGTTATAGAGAAGGCAGTCCGAAGTCAGGCTGCCTGTGTCTGGAAGACACAGCATGAGGAAGGGACAGTGTGCATCCCAGCAGTCTCTGAGGCCAGCTGATGGACATTCCCTCTGTAAAGACAGACCCATCGTTTTTGGTAATTGATGCAGGCGATATGGTTTTGGTCCAGTTATTGTTTGTGCCTGGCATGGTGTCAAATGCCTGTAATCCCAGCACTTGAGAGGCTGAGGCAGGAGATCCACATGAGTCCAAGGTCAACCTGGCTACATAGCAAAACCCTATCTCAAAGAAAAATAAAGTTATTGTTCGAGTAAGTCTCAGGTTTTCCAGCAGGTGGGTAACAACTGGAGAAAGACAAGACAGGTGAGCATGACAGGGACAGGGCTGGAGAAGGTGGGCAGTGGACAAGAATCTGCAGGAAAGGCTACAGACCAGCCAAGAACTATCATCGGGTCGGGCCCCACGCTCTGTCAGGGTGGTCCTAGAGCAGAGCATTGCTCGCACATTGCTGTGCTCTGTCCAAGGCCATCTTCATACGTAACTACTCATGTGAAACCCAGGCCTCGTGAGTGTGCATGTGTTTATGATTTCTTTGTGTTTCAGGGCTCCACGGTGGCTAGAGAAGCGAGTGACAAGGAAAAGGTAAGCACCGTGATGCACACGTGCCCGAGTGGGCATGGGGTCTCTCCTGTCGGTTCTTCTGTCTCGGCTTCCTCCACTGTGATCCCTGCCCTTCCCCACGGCTGCTCCCACTGCAAAGTGCGGGGTGGTGATCAGGTGGGAGTGTGGGTGAAGGAAACATTTCACATGCGACAAGCTCTGAAAACCCAGCCAGCTGCACAGCATGCTTATCAAAGATAGGGGCCAGGGCTTGGAATGTCCGACAGGCCCGGGACAGGGACGGGTCCCAAGGCCACAGTGCCCCCCACTAACCATATGTGGCCTTGAAAAGTGTCTTTGCCTCTCTAAAATCCATTTTCTCACCTATAACATGTTGATGTGAATGAGCTTCAGATTCCTTTCCTGTAAGGCATGATTAGAGTATTTTCTTGCTTTAAAAAAGAGACCACATCTTTTTATCTTTTCCTGACTTGTCGGTGATATTTAAATCATACTTAGTTTTAATATTTCATAGGATGATAAAGTCAATTTCAAACGTTGGTCTGAATAAGAATTGGGGAAGTAGTTTCCTGTTTGTAAATCTAAACCAACTGAAAGCACCATGTGCTTCCATGCTAGGTACCTCAGCCCCCCCCCACATACACCACCACCCCCCACCCCACCCCCGTCAGCAGTGATGTTGTTGTTGTTGCTGTTGTTATTGTTGTTGTTGTTGTTGTTGTTCTGCAGGCCTTGGTATGTGCTGTGCAATTGCCAGGTCGCTGAGCCCTAGCCCCAGCCCTACTCATAGCTGTGAAAGTTACGCCTTCTTAACTGTTCCATCTGAAAGCTAGACTCAAGAATTTTCATTTTGTTTTGTTTTTAATTAAATTCTTTTAGGTTGATATCATTTGCTTTTGATTTGAATTTTACAAATTTGCACATCTGTTTTCCTTTATGTACTTATTTACGGCTTGGTGTTTTTGATAATTCATCTTTCAGCAGGTCAAGGCTCTGAAAGGTCACCTCAGCCATTCTTGTGTGTTACAGATGCTCCCTGGGAAGAGAGGAGGAAATAGTTTGAAGTGAGGAATGCAAAAGTCATATAAGTTGATACCGAGCAGAGTGCGCGCCTAGGCAGGCAGGCAGCAGGGCCTCTCCTCTCTCCCACAGTTTATTTATGATCTAGAAACATACATGCAACTGTCATAGATCAAATAAAATGTATGAATGAAGCCTAACTCTTTTAAATGTTGGATTTTTAAGTTATTTTTTAAAGTTTTCTTTCAAGTTTTCTTTCTATAATATTTTTGACTTTCAAAAAAGCAAAACATTGTTTTCCTTCACAAGTAAAACTATAAATGCTGTCAGACAAGTCACTAGTACCTCTAATTCAAAGTATTTGGGGAAGGCTAAAAAAATTTGTTTCCTGCCTTTTAACCTTTTCGAGATAAAACTAAATGATTTGCAGAATTATTTTTATTACTATCACTATGTAATGATATTCCCTGAAAAATGATTGCTATAGTGCATAAACGGTTTCTAGAGACTCTCCATTGACACGGTAATCTTAATTAGGTATTAGTAATCTCAGTTCTTGCTCTTTTTAGGTTTTCTTTCATTGAAGTCATTATGACTTTTAATTTTCAGTGCTTTTAACTTGTTGATGGCAAGTTTTAAAACTGTCATTTTAAATATTTAGTAGTATAGGTACAGACAAGTTCCATCCATGGATTTCAACTTGACACATAACTAGTGTGATTTGCATTAGCATAATAATGAAGATGGAACTGAGAGAAATAAGGAAGTTATATTCTAACAATAATGGAATCACTTTCATTGCAACAAGTTTCAGAACATGCACATACAGATGTCTTGAATTTTTTTTAAAAAGAGCAGAACAATGCTTTAAAAAAAATTGTCAGATTCTGACAGCTGCTATGACTTGTTTTATTCCGTAATTCTTTCCTCTTTAATGGAAGGGCATCTTCCATTCATGGCTCCAGCAGTTTTGCCTCCTCTAAATGAGACAGAGAAATGCGAATCTCCCTGGTGGTCGATCTTTTCACAGCTGCGCTGCAATTCCAGTGTGACATCAAATTAGTAATTATAGTTGAGCAGACTGCTTTTTACAAATGACAGTCTTAGCATGCTGCCAGCTAGCAAGCTACTCAGCAGGGGGTCCAGGGAAGTAAAAGAAAACATAACTGGACTCACTTGATCTCTGGGGGCTTTGACCTGACTCTAAAAAGCCCACGTTCTTGAGAGAGAGAGTCCTGGGGATTTACACAAATATGCATTTTGTTCATCATTCTGCACAGTTCTTCTCAAAACTCGTGTCCGATTTTATTAGGTAAAGCAAAGCCTACGTAATGGAGTCACAGGGTCACAATAAGAAGATTCCTTTTAACATACAACCTTCTCCCTGAAACCCATTTGAAAGAAAACAGCTGCCCTGCAATTGGCATTTGTGTAACTATATTGGCAATAATCATTGTTGACACTTTGATAATGGGCTACAAAAAGCTGCCTTGTCAATTCTTGTGCATTGTAAATTGCACTAGCAATTAAGCGACTGTCACCGGCTCTGACATTTTACCTATTACTGACTGAAGATTTGGCAGAATTAATCATTAATATCCTTACATCTAAAAATGCTCTCCCAAACCTGTCCTCAGCATTTCTTTTGTGATCTGTAAATTGTAACAAATTATAATTAAGCACTACCTCCCTCTGGTCCTCCTGGCTACAGTTACAGGCAAGGTGGGAAGGATGGGACCCCAGCAGAAGGTACAAAAGCACAGCCGGTGGCCTGGAACCCTTGTTTACTTCTCCCTTAGAAAGTGCTTCCCTCTCCTCAGCAGCAGTCAGACAGGGAGATCATCCAAGGTGGGCCCTCGCAGTTCAGCCACAACTTTTAACATTTTTCTGTTAAAATTCCTTTCCCAGGATGAGCGAGTCCTTTTCCTGTGCCAGCCAGGATTAAGCATAGCCATCCCACCACGCAAGTGCTGGATAGTTTCCCTCCAGGTGGAAGCAGAATTGGTTTCTGAGACCTTAAAAACCAAACTGGTAACTTCCACCTCATGGACCAGAGATGTTTTATAAAAGGGGGATAAGACCAAATAGAAAGTTAGATTCGAGACCCAGCCCTGGGGGAAGGTGAAGGATGGCATTAATGAAAGTTTGGGGGTTTGAAAATTAAAGAATAAGGCTTTGGTTTATCACTGATTCTCATGCTTTAGTGTTCACAAGAATCTCTTGTTTCTCATCGAGCTTTTCTGGACCCTCCTTTGGAAATTCCTTCAGCAATAGACCCACTGGGAAAAGCCCTGGACTTGACAGTCACTAAAACCCAGTCTGTTCTACATCTAGGTTATGGTGGTTTCTGTTACTAAGGGAAGCACCACCGCTACTGATGGAATAAATATTCTGCTTTTCGAGCAAGCAGCTGACTAAGCAAGCCATAAGAACCCTTTGTGTGCAGTGGAGTATTAGTCATAAAGGTGGATGCATTTCAGTTGTTTGTAGGAAAACAGATGGACCTTGAGGCTATAATGTTAAGTGAATAAGTCAGACACAGAAAGGTAAGTATCACATGATTTCTTTTAGATGAGAAATGCAAGAACGATTTGAAGAGCAGAGTAAAGGAGAGATGATAGGAAATGGGGAGGTAGACTATTCCAAGGTGACCCACAGGGCCTGGGGGAAATGGGGCTAAAATGATCAAGATATTATCTATTAATCCCCAAAAATGAGTTTAATTATTATGTATTACAACTATGGAAAGACCCAGTTTCCCAGAGTACCTCCCCGCCATCCAGGGGCGGATGTTAATGCCTCACATGTGCTAGACAAGTGCTCTACCACCAGCCTGCTCCCTAGCCAGGAGCAGGACTTTTCAGCATTTAGTAACATGAACTTCCTCCTGACTGGTACATGTGGGGTGTGAAGGAGAGAGAAAGTCTTGGCATCCTGTGACACTTGTGACATCTCCCAGATTTTCATCCACATGACAGCACTAAAGTCCTTAGCTTTTTAACTTGCTGGCTGAAATGATGTAAAAACTCACTTAACCTTAGATTAATCATTATTTCACTGAAATGAACTTACTTCAGTATCACAAATACACACAAAACAGTGCTCTTAGATTTGGGAGTTTTTTTTTTTTTTTTTTTTAAGCTGCCAGCTTTTATTAAGCTAGTTCTAGGAAGAATTTAGGTAAGATCTTAAAATTCATTATGTGGCCTGGATTTGAGCCAAGATGCTGTAGACATATAATTTTTATAATAAAATAATGATTTTCACTAGGTTAGTGTTAAACAAGAAGCAGTAGGTCTTAGCAACTTCTTGAGTTGGTTGGTTTTTTGGTTTTGGTTTTCTAAACAGTGATTGAAGCCAGGGCGTTCAGTCTAACCTATATCTCCAGCTCCACTATGCTTTTAATTTTGAGATAAGGTCTCACTCTATGGCCCAGGTGCGACTTGAACTTGGAGTCCTCCTTCCTCAACCTTCCTCAGTGCTGGGATTACAGGCATGCGCTACCACTCCCAGCTCGGAACAGACCTACTTGGAAATCCCAATTTTGTGTACAGTTTAACTGTCACTTTACTGCTTGTATAGAAGTAAACTAAAGTTACCACCTTTGACACAGAGTTGTGTTCATTAAAAGTGTGACAGTATCAGAAAAGAAATTTCATGTTTTACATACTAGCTTAAGAATTTTAAGAAATACCAACTGAATCTCACCAACCTTAACAGTTTTAAATGGTAGGTTTACGTAAACTTATCCAGTTTCATGTTTCTAAATTATAGCACTGTTTCACAAGTACATCGAGGTGTGGTTTCTTTCCATATTTTGCATGTAGACATTTAGAATTAAAATATGAAACTCACATCTGGATGCCGGCCCACAGATACATACCTTCTTACTATTTTCAGCGTGAAAATCAGAAGTTAGTACTGACCTGCTAGGAGCCCGTGTAGACACTGTGCTGCTGTAGTTGAAGGAGGTGATTATATGTACTCTTTGTGAGAAAACA